CGTCTGTACCCGTGCCGAGCCGAGTGCTGTCTGTACCCGTGCTCTCTGTACCCATGCTGTCTGTACCCGTGCTGAGCCCTGTGCCGTCTGTACCCGTGCCGTCTGTACCCGTGCCGTTCTGAGTTCCGTGTTGTCTGTACCCGTGCTGAGCCCCGTGCCGTCTGTACCCGTGCCGTCTGTACCCGTGCTGAGCCCCGTGCCGTCTGTACCCGTGCCATCTGTACCCATGCTGAGGCCCGTGCCATCTGTACCCGTGCCGTCCGTACCCGTGCTGAGCCCCGTGCCGTCTGTACCCGTGCCATCTATACTCGTGCCGAGCCCCGTGCCATCTGTACCCGTGCCATCTGTACCCGTGCTGAAGCCCGTGCCATCTGTATCCGTGCCATCTATACCCGTGCCATCTGTACCCGTGCCATGTGTACCCGTGCCGTGCTGAGCCCCGTGCCGTCTGTACCCGTGCCGTCTGTACCCGTGCCGTCTGTACCTGTGCCGAACCCCATGCTGTCTGTACCCGTGCCGTCTGTACCCGTGCCATATATACCCGTGCCGAGCCCCGTGTTGTCTGTACCCGTGCCATCTGCACCCGTGCCATCTATACCCGTGCCATCTGTACCCGCGCTGAGCCCGGTGCTGTCTGTACCCGTGCCGTCTGTACCCGTGCCATCTGTACCCGTGCTGAGCCCCGTGCTGTCTGTACCCGTGCTGTCTGTACCCGTGCCATCTGTACCCGTGCCATCTGTATCCGTGCTGAGCCCCGTGCTGTCTATACCCGTGTCGAGCCCCGTGCCGTCTGTACCCGTGCCATCTGTACCCGTGCTGAGCCCCGTGCTGTCTATACCCGTGCCGAGCCCCGTGCCGTCTGTACCCGTGCCGTCTGTACCCGTGCCGAGCCCCGTGCTGTCTGTACCCGTGCCGTCTGTACCCGTGCTGAGCCCCGTGCTGTCTATACCCGTGCTGACCCCCGTGCCGTCTGTACCCGTGCCATCTGTACCCGTGCTGAGCCCCGTGCTGTCTATACCCGTGCTGAACCCCGTGCCGTCTGTACCCGTGCCATCTGTACCCGTGCCGAGCCCCGTGCTGTCTGTACCCGTGCCGTGTGTACCTGTGCCATCTGTACCCGTGCCGTCTGTACCCGTGCCATCTATACCCATGCCATCTGTACCCGTGCCATCTGTACCCGTGCCATCTGTACCCGTGCCGTGCTGAGCCCCGTGCCGTCTGTACCCGTGCCGTCTGTACCCGTGCCGTCTGTACCCGTGCCGAACCCCATGTAGTCTGTACCCGTGCCGTCTGTACCCGTGCCGAACCCCGTGTAGTCTGTACCCGTGCCGTCTGTACCCGTGCCGAACCCCGTGTAGTCTGTACCCGTGCCGAGCCCCGTGTAGTCTGTACACGTGCCATCTGTACCCGTGCCGTCTGTACCCGTGCCGAACCCCATGCTGTCTGTACCCGTGCCGTCTGTACCCGTGCCGTCTGTACCCGTACCATATATACCCGTGCCGAGCCCCGTGTAGTCTGTATCCGTGCCGTCTGTACCCGTGCCGTCTGTACCCGTGCCGTCTGTACTCGTGCCGAGCCGAGTGCTGTCTGTACCCGTGCTGTCTGTACCCATGCTGTCTGTACCCGTGCTGAGCCCCGTGCCATCTGTACCCGTGCCGTCTGTACCCGTGCCGTGCTGAGTCCCGTGTTGTCTGTACCCGTGCCGTCTGTACCCGTGCCGTGCTGAGCCCCGTGCCGTCTGTACCCGTGCCGTCTGTACCCGTGCCGTCTGTACCCGTGCCATCTGTACCCGTGCCGAACCCCGTGTAGTCTGTACCCGTGCCGTCTGTACCCGTACCATATATACCCTTGCCGAGCCCCGTGTAGTCTGTATCCGTGCCGTCTGTACCCGTGCCGTCTGTACCCGTGCCGTCTGTACCCGTGCCGAGCCGAGTGCTGTCTGTACCCGTGCTGTCTGTACCCATGCTGTCTGTACCCGTGCTGAGCCCCGTGCCGTCTGTACCCGTGCCGTCTGTACCCGTGCCGTGCTGAGTCCCGTGTTGTCTGTACCCGTGCTGAGCCCCGTGCCATCTGTACCCGTGCCGTCTGTACCCGTGCTGAGCCCCGTGCCGTCTGTACCCGTGCCATCTGTACCCATGCTGAGGCCCGTGCCATCTGTACCCGTGTCGTCTGTACCCGTGCTGAGCCCAATGCCATCTGTACCCGTGCCATCTATACCCGTGCCGAGCCCCGTGCCATCTGTACCCGTGCCATCTGTACCCGTGCCATCTGTACCCGTGCCATCTGTACCCGTGCCGTGCTGAGCCCCGTGCCGTCTGTACCCGTGCCGTCTGTACCCGTGCCGTCTGTACCCGTGCCGAACCCCATGCTGTCTGTACCCGTGCCATCTGCACCCGTGCCATCTGTACCCGTGCCATCTGTACCCGCGCTGAGCCCCGTGCTGTCTGTACCCGTGCCGTCTGTACCCGTGCCATCTGTACCCGTGCTGAGCCCCGTGCTGTCTGTACCGGTGCTGTCTGTACCCGTGCCATCTGTACCCGTGCCATCTGTATCCATGCTGAGCCCCGTGCTGTCTATACCCGTGCCGAGCCCCGTGCCGTCTGTACCCGTGCCATCTGTACCCGTGCTGAGCCCCGTGCTGTCTATACCCGTGCCGAGCCCTGTGCCGTCTGTACCCGTGCCGTCTGTACCCGTGCCGAGCCCCGTGCTGTCTGTACCCGTGCCGTCTGTACCCGTGCTGAGCCCCGTGCTGTCTATACCCGTGCTGACCCCCGTGCCGTCTGTACCCGTGCCATCTGTACCCGTGCTGAGCCCCGTGCTGTCTATACCCGTGCTGAGCCCCGTGCCGTCTGTACCCGTGCCATCTGTACCCGTGCCGAGCCCCGTGCTGTATGTACCCGTGCCGTCTGTACCTGTGCCATCTGTACCCGTGCCGTCTGTACCCGTGCCATCTATACTCATGCCATCTGTACCCGTGCCATCTGTACCCGTGCCATCTGTACCCGTGCCGTGCTGAGCCCCGTGCCGTCTGTACCCGTGCCGTCTGTACCCGTGCCGTCTGTACCCGTGCCGAACCCCGTGTAGTCTGTACCCGTGCCGTCTGTACCCGTGCCGAACCCCGTGTAGTCTGTACCCGTGCCGTCTGTACCCGTGCCGAACCCCGTGTAGTCTGTACCCGTGCCGAGCCCCGTGTAGTCTGTACACGTGCCGTCTGTACCCGTGCCGTCTGTACCCGTGCCGAACCCCATGCTGTCTGTACCCATGCCGTCTGTACCCGTGCCGTCTGTACCCGTACCATATATACCCGTGCCGAGCCCCGTGTAGTCTGTATCCGTGCCGTCTGTACCCGTGCCGAACCCCGTGTAGTCTGTACCCGTGCCGTCTGTACCCGTACCATATATACCCGTGCCGAGCCCCGTGTAGTCTGTATCCGTGCCGTCTGTACCCGTGCCGTCTTTACCCGTGCCGTCTGTACCCGTGCCGAGCCGAGTGCTGTCTGTACCCGTGCTGTCTGTACCCATGCTGTCTGTACCCGTGCTGAGTCCCGTGTTGTCTATACCCGTGCCGTCTGTACCCGTGCCGTGCTGAGCCCCGTGCCCTCTGTACCCGTGCCGTCTGTACCCGTGCTGAGCCCCGTGCTGTCTGTACCCGTGCCATCTGTACCCATGCTGAGGCCCGTGCCGTCTGTACCCGTGCCGTCTGTACCCGTGCTGAGCCCCGTGCCGTCTGTACCCGTGCCATCTATACCCGTGCCGAGCCCCGTGCCGTCTGTACCCGTGCCATCTGTACCCGTGCTGAAGCCCGTGCCGTCTGTACCCGTGCCATCTATACCCGTGCATCTGTACCCGTGCCATCTGTACCCGTGCCGTGCTGAGCCCCGTGCCGTCTGTACCCGTGCCGTCTGTACCCGTGCCGTCTGTACCCGTGCCGAACCCCATGCTGTCTGTACCCGTGCCGTCTGTACCCGTGCCATATATACCCGTGCCGAGCCCCGTGTTGTCTGTACCCGTGCCGTCTGTACACGTGCCGTTTGTACCCGTGCCGAGCCCCGTGCTGTCTGTACCCGTGCTGAGCCCCGTGCCGTCTGTACCCGTGCCGTCTGTACCCGTGCCGTGCTGAGTCCAGTGTTGTCTGTACCCGTGCTGAGCCTCGTGCCGTCTGTACCCGTGCCGTCTGTACCCGTGCCATCTGTACCCGTGCTGAGGCCCGTGCCGTCTGTACCCGTGCCGTCTGTACCCGTGCTGAGCCCCGTGCCGTCTGTACCCGTGCCATCTATACCCGTGCCGAGCCCCGTGCCGTCTGTACCCGTGCCAGCGCGTAATGGTGACTCGTGGACTACTCGAGCCTGAGTTGCATTGTGTGTGTAGTGTGGTGTATGTAGTGTGTGTGTGGTGTGTGGTAAGGTTGTGCACATTGCTGAGTAATAATGGCGATTGATTCATTTGGTGAGAATGATTGGCCTGACGCCTGCTGCTGTATATTTGCGGTTTGCGTGTCTCTCTCCCCGTGGTCGCGTGGATTTTTCTCCGGCTCCTCAGGTTATTTTTTTTGCCCGACACGTTGAGAATCACGCGCTTAAGAGTTTTTGGCATTTTTTTATTTCCACCCGACGACGACGGCGACGACGACAAGCGACTTCGTTGAGCTCTCATTTGTGAAAGCCAGGTCGCGTCTGAACAAGAGCTCCTACGTAGCTCAGTGAAAAGTGATGAGTCGTGACGAGCGATTAGTGAGTGGTGGTGATGGTGGTGGTGATGATGGTGGTGGTGCTGGTGATATCATAAAGTGGGTTAGAGGAGGCAGGGCCCACGAGCGAACGCCACCGCTCCATCATAGGATGCGGATGGCTGGGTGTGGGGGGGTGTGGGGGGGGGGTGTGGGGGGGGTGTGGGGGGTGTGGGGTATGGGTCCACCGCGTTCGCTGTGGCACAGCCAAAGCCCCAGCCACGAGTCCACAGGCGCGGCGGCGGCTGAGCGGAGCCCCCCCCCTCTCCTCCCCTTGGCCAGTAACATCCGCGGCGTTGGGGACTTGTGGAGAGTTTCTCCCCCAACACCCCCCCCCTCTCCCCTCTGCTTTGGGCGAGGTTCTGCCGGCTCGCTCAGCGGAGCTGGCGAGGATTTCTCGCGCGCCGGGTTCGAGGAGGTGGTGGCGGTGGTGGTGGTGGCCCCTTTGAAGAGGTGACGCGAAATCCGCCGTGGCAGCAGCGGTGGTTGGCGGGGGGGGCTCCTCCGTGCTACGGCTGGGATCGGGGGGGGGGGCTTCAGAAGGTCTCGCAGGCGGTGTGCGCCGCGGAGCACGGCTGGCACTCGCAGCTGACGGCCACGGGGAACGTGAAGTGCGGGTCCACGTTGGCGCGGCACATTGGCAAGCGCACGGTGCGCGGCCGCGTCTCGTTGTAGGTGCACACGCGGTGGTGAGCCTCCACGAAGGGCGGCTCCAGCGTGGGCTTCTGTGGCCACGGGGGGACACGGGGGGACACGCGGGGGACACGTGGGGGGACACGGGGGGACACGTGGGGGGACACGGGGGGACACGTGGGGGGACACGGGGGGACACGTGGGGGACACATGGGGGGACACGGGGGGTTACGTGGGGAGACACATGAGACACACGTGACACACTTGAAGACCCCTGTGAGGATTGCCTTGACAGACTGTTGGAGCAGCAAAGTGCTGTGAGCAGCCCATGCATCCGTCGGAGGGGTCGATAAAATGTGTTCCGCTTTGTGTGGAAGTCGACATCGGTTCCCTTATGGACGGACTCGCCCCCCACCGTGTTAGGAACGTGAAATCGCCACCACTGGGTGAGGAGTGTAGGTATCAGGTGAACACCGTCTCGACGTCAAGCAAAGATCTACAATCTCGTACAGGACCCTGCCGTGGAACCGCCCCGGTCCAGACCTTCCACGCCGTGGCCACGTGACCGAATCAGGGGCCGTGTGGCCACGTGACCGAATCAGGGACCGTGTGGCCACGTGACCGAATCAGGGGCCGTGTGGCCACGTGACCGAATCAGGGGCCGTGTGGCCACGTGACCGAATCGGGGACCGAATGGCGCCATCGGAGATTCGGCGGCCCTGCGATTGGCGCGACCACGAACCGTCGATACTCTTAGGTTGTTTTGTTAAAGTCACGTAGGTAAAAAATAAATTATAGAAATAAAATAACAAATATATTTTTCCCTATAATAAATATTTTATTTCTATTATTATTTATATTATTATTTATAGTATTTTTATTGCTTATTTTTATTTTTTACCTACGTGACTTTACCGAAAAAACCTAAGAGTATGTATGAATCCTTGCAGTCACGAAAGCTTCAAATCTAGAACGAACCGTCGAGCCACACCGTCAACAACGCCGCCGCCGCCTTTACTCCTTTCAAGGAGCAGGAACAGTCGAGATCCACTCTGCGTCTTCAATGTGCTGACAGTTAAATCCATACGAAAGAGGAGGAGGGGGAGGAGGGGGTTGGTGGAGCAGGAGGAATAAGCGAGTCGAGCACGGCCACGCTATTTTTTAAATCCTTTATATTAAGTTCACTTGCTTGCTTGCTTGCGCGCTTACGACCGTGCAAATCTTTCGGTCGTTTTTTTAACCCACTTCCCGTGATCCAATCGAGCTGACATTTTGCACACAGACTCATTATGCGTGACAATTTATTTTCGTGAAAATTTTTTTCCAAAATTTTACACTTTTTAGGAAAAAATAAATTATATTTAATCACCAATTGCTTAATGGTGGCAGGCAATCATCTGACCCATAGGTGGCAGCCATCTCAAGCCAGAGGACGAGAGGACTCTAGCCGCCACGTATATAAAAGATTTATAGTGGAAAACTTTGTTTTTACGGGTTAATTTTTTACTATTTACAAACTATTTTTTGTGTTGGACCAAGTGAGGCCCACTGAGCTACGTGGCACTACGACAGAAGCGACATGGACATCACAAACGACGGCCAAACCACGTGGGTCATCGTCGTGCGGGGAATGTGTAGCAGCGAAAACACTCGACACTCGTGATGCTAAAAGTGGAAGGAAAAACCGGAGGGCCCGGAGAAAAATCCGCGTGACCACCACTGGGAGAGAGAGAGAGACGCATACTTTAAATATACAGAAGCAGGCATCGTCAGGGTCGGGATCGAACCCATGACCTCCTGTAGACCAGGCGAGGTAGTCAACATCTTACCACTGGGAGAGAGAGACGCAGACTTCAAATATACAGCAGCAGGCATCGTCAGGGTCGGGATCTAACCCACGACCTCCTGTAGACCAGGCGAGGTAGTTAACATCTCATCACTGGGATAAAGAGACGCAGACTTTAAATATACAGAAGCAGGCGACCTCCTGTATACCAGGCGAGGTAGTTAACATCTAATATCCACCGTTGCGCTGCAGGGTGGCCATCACCACGCCCCTGGCCGCCTTTGTCTCCTCAGTGGCAAGGTTTACACGTCGCACCAGGTACTCATTTGAGGCTGAGTCGACCTAGGGGGGAAGGCCCAGGACCGGTTCATAAATAGGCAACTGCTTGAGAAGAGATTTTCCCCTTTTTTCTGGCAACAAACAGGTGTGTTTAAGATGTTAAAACACCAAACTGAAACCTTTTTACAAGGAATCGTGTCTGCATTAGCCACAATACAGCTGCCTAGTCTCGGCTCCAAAGAAAGCTGTCTCTGGTGTGGACCAATCAGTTTCAAAGACAATGCATTCATTATCAGAGTATGTTTTTTGCTTGCATTCTGACCACAAGCATTGTGGTTAATGCAGACATGATTCCTCGAAAAATATTTCCGTTTGGTATTTTAACATCTTAAACGGTTGTTTTGTTGCCAGAAAAAATGGGAAAACCTATTCTCATATTTCGGCGCTGGCAAAGGAAGAGGTGAAGCGACTGCTTCTTCGTCCTGAGCGGAAATCAAAATCGGATTGCCAAGTTCGCAGCGCAGCACGCTAACCACTGCACCACCGCTCCGCCACGCCTAGACACAGACACGCCGCACCACACACAGTGACACAACAACAACAGCCGCCGACATTCGCCACTAAGTGGCGGTGACGTCTCCAACGCGCTTGTGCCAGGCCAGGTGCACTTTAAGGCCACGTGAAGTGTCGAAGGCTCGCTGTTGGACAGGAAATCACGAAACAGGCCCAGGTGTTTTGGGTTGACTGACTGAGATGGCTGACAGAGGCACCACCTGTGCTCGCTACTGCGCCAGCCAAACTTGCTACGTTTTAGCCGCTCGACGCTCCGCTCGTTATTGTGAGCGTCGCTCCTCGGCCCTCCGTTGTTGCTGGAGGGCCTCTGCCTCCAACTGCCCAGTAGCGTCCTTCACGAGCCTCCTCCTCCACAGAGGCCGATCTTGACACCGCTGGTACCGGTCGTAGGCAAGTCCACTCAGCTCCACATCCTCCTGTACCGCATCAGCTCCATCTCTTTTCTAGCCCGTTCCGTGCCCGTTCAGCACCCTCTATGCGGCCGAACAAAAGCTGTTAAGGCATGCGGTGGCTGGGCATGCGGGCTACGTGACCCAGCCAACGCAGCCTCGCCTGCCAGAGGAGCTCACTGATGGGACTGTGTCCCGATCTTGCAAGCAGCTGCTCACACAATCCATCCTGGTTAAACCCAGGATAGGATTGAAGGCAGGCGAACCTTTCCAACCGGAGCAGATGTTCCATTAGATGGATCCACGTTTCGCAAGCACAGAGAAGGGAGGGCATGACTGTGGAAGAGAAGACCCGAAGCTTCGTGCGGAGCGACATAACCAGGTAGCATAACCAGGTAGCAGCGTTACGCAAACGATGAAAAGATAATGCCGCCCGACTGATTCGGAGTGAGACGTCTGGCTGTCAAACCTGAGCTGGTCACGAACACACTGCCCAGGGACAAAAAACTTCTCCACTCTTTCCACAACTGCCCCATCACTCATAGGGAGCTGAGCGGTGGAGTATTTGATGACACAAAACACCCCGGCAGGTGCTTTGTTTGTCGTGGCGCTGGTGGTTTTGTGTGTTATGGGCGAGCCAACAAAGACAAAGATCCCCCGTGTAGCTTTAACAGACTGTTGGGGCAAGTGCTGTTAGCGAGCACCTATGAAGTGCGGAACGGCACACGAGGGGGTGGGTGACCAGCACCACACCCGGCCGCCTTTGTCTCCCCAGTGGCGCAGCGTGATGATTCTACAGGTGAGCACGGTGAGTGTAGCCAGGGGAGATGAACCTCTACAGGTGAGCGTGGTGAGTGTGGCCAGGGGAGATGAACCTCTACAGGTGAGCGTGGTGAGTCTAGCAGGGGAGATGAACATCTACAGGTGATCGTGGTGAGTGTAGCAGGGGAGATGAACCTCTACAGGTGAGCGTGGTGAGTGTAGCAGAGGAGATGAACCTCTACAGGTGAGCGTGGTGAGTGTAGCAGGGGAGATGAACATCTACAGGTGATCGTGGTGAGTGTAGCAGGGGAGATGAACCTCTACAGGTGAGCGTGGTGAGTGTAGCAGAGGAGATGAACATCTACAGGTGAGCGTGGTGAGTGTAGCAGGGGGTGATGAACCTGGTGCACTGCGTGAGTGGCGGTGATTGTTGGCGCTTAACGTACGCACTGAGTTCTAAGTGTGCGGTGGTGCTGGGTGGAGGGGGGGCGAAGCGGTGAGTGAATTTGGGGGGGGCGGTTGGGGGGCATTGTGGGGGGGGGCAGTGGGGGGGGGGCAGTGGGGGGGGGGGGGGCGGTGGGGGTCCCTTTACCTCCCAGGTCTCACAGCGGCCCCAGCACGCGTCCGTGGTGATGCGCACGCCCCGGCAGCCCGGCTTCCTCGCCACGAAGCTGAACTCGCGCACCGCGCAGCCCACGAATCCGCGGAGCTCGAGGGCGGCGCAGAGCGGCGGCGGCACGAGCAGCAGGGGCAGCAGCAGGAGGGGCAGCAGGAGGCGCCGCGAGGCGAGGAGGAGCAGCAGCAGCAGCGCCACGGAGGACATCCTGCAACCCGCCACGGGCCCGCAACGCCGCCCCGTTAACATCGCCCGCAGCGGCACGGCGCGCATTGTGACCTCATCGTCGTCGTGATCATCACGCCCACCACCAGCAGTGTCATCGTCATTAACAACAACATCACCACCATCATCACCATCATCATCACCATCACGCCCACCACCAGCATTATCATCGTCATTAACAACAACATCATTACCATCATCATCACCATCATCACCACCAGCAGTGTCATTGTCATTAACAACAACAACATCATCACCACCACCACCACCATCATCATCACCATCATCACCTCCAGCATTGTCATCGTCATTAACAACATCATCATCATCACCACCATCACCACCATCACCATCACGCCCACCACCAGCATTATCATCGTCATTAACAACATCATCTTCATCACGCCCACCACCAGTATCGTCATCGTCATTAACAACAACATCACCATCATGAGCACCACCGACATCGTCATTAACAACATCAACAACATCAACATCGTCGTCGTCACCATCGATGACGATGGGAGGTGTCACGCGCGTGGGGGTCCCGGAGACGGAGAGACGCGAGGCAGAGACACGGGGGCCACACGGAGACAAAACAGACGCGGCCACTCACACCTCACGCTCCCACGTGGCTCCGCGTGTCGGTGTCTCCTCCGCGTGTCGATGTCTCCTCCGTGTGTCGGTGTCTTCTCCTTATCCCCTCCGCGTGTCGGTGTCTCCTCCGTGAGCCCTCCGTGTGTGCACCACGCGCGGCTCCCGCCACGGCCTCTGTGCAGCAGCTGCAGCAGCAGCGCCGCTCCGCGCCCTCATCCCGCGATGACGACGGCGATGACGAGCGAGAGACTCGCGAGAAACGCGAGTCTCGGTGTGTGGGTGTCTGTGGGTGTCAGTGGGTGTCTGTGGGTGTCTGTGGGTGTCTGTGGATGTCTGTGGGTGTCTGTGCAACGCAGTGGCGGTGAGCGAGGCGGCTTGTGGGTGTCTGTGGGTGTCTGTGGAGCGCAGTAGCGGTGAGCGAGGCTGCGTGTGGGTGTCTGTGGGTGTCTGTGGAGCGCAGTAGTGGTGAGTGAGGCTGCGTGTGGGTGTTTGTGGGTGTCTGTGTAGCGCAGTGGCGGTGAGCGAAGCTGCGTGTGGGTGTCTGTGGGTGTCTGTGGGTGTCTGTGTAGCGCAGTGGCGGTGAGTGAGGCTGCGTGTGGGTGTCTGTGGGTGTCTGTGGAGCGCAGTGGCGGTGAGTGAGGCTGCGTGTGGGTGTCTGTGGGTGTCTGTGTAGCGCAGTAGCGGTGAGTGATGCTGCGTGTGGGTGTCTGTGGGTGTCTGTGGAGCGCAGTGGCGGTGAGTGAGGCTGCGTGTGGGTGTCTGTGGGTGTCTGTGTAGCGCAGTGGCGGTGAGCGAAGCTGCGTGTGGGTGTCTGTGGGTGTCTGTGGAGCGCAGTGGCGGTGAGCGAGGCGGCGTGTAGGTGTCTGTGGGTGTCTGTGCAACGCAGTGGCGGTGAGCGAAGCTGCGTGTGGGTGTCTGTGGGTGTCTGTGCAACGCAGTGGCGGTGAGCGAGGCTGCGTGTGGGTGTCTGTGGGTGTCTGTGGAGCGCAGTGGCGGTGAGCGAGGCTGCGTGTGGGTGTCTGTGGGTGTCTGTGGAACGCAGTAGTGGTGAGGGAGGCTGCGTGTGGGTGTCTGTGGGTGTCTGTGGAGCGCAGTGGCGGTGAGTGAGGCTGCGTGTGGGTGTCTGTGGGTGTCTGTGCAGCGCAGTAGCGGTGAGCAAGGCTGCGTGTGGGTGTCTGTGGGTGTCTGTGGAGCGCAGTGGCGGTGAGCGCCGCGCTACGATCCCGGCGTCAACACCGGCAACGATCGTCTGAACCGGTCATGGACCTCCCCTAGGTCGACTCGGCCTCAAATGAGTGCCTGGTGCGGTGCGTAAAAACATCGCCACTGGGAGACAAAGGCGGCCGGGCGTGGTGCTACCCACCCACCCCCTCGCGCGCCGCGTCGGCCTTGAGAGGTGCTGCTCGCTAACAGCACTTGCCCCGGCAGTCTGTTCCGGGCTACGCGGGGCACCTTTGTCTTTGTGTGGGACACCAACAGAGTCGCCCCCCCCCGCTCCCTCCCCCTCGCCCCCACCGGGAGGGGAAGGGAGGGTGGGGCGAGGGGGAGGGAGGGGGGGCGAGGGGGAGGGAGGGGGGGCGAGGGGGTTAATGGGGGGGGCGAGGGGGAGGGAGGGGGGGCGAGGGGGGTAATGGGGGGGGCGAGGGAGCGGGGGTGAGGGGGGAGGGGGGGGTGAGGGGGAGGGAGGGGTGGGGCGAAGGGGAAGGAGTGGGGGGCGAGGGGGTGATGGGGGGGGGCAAGAGGGAGGGAGGGGGGCGAGGGGGGTGATAGGGGGGCGAGGGGGAGGGAGAGGGGGTGAGGGGGGGTGAGGGTGAGGGAGGGGGGGGTGAGGGTCACGGCAAGGGGAGCGCGGTGTCCCAGGGGAGGTCTGCTGCGAAGCGCCCCACGGATAGAAACAGAGGCCACGCCGCGTGGCGGTAACGCGCTGAGGGGGACGTGGGGGGGTGTTGAACGCAGTGGCGCTACGACTTGGGGGCCGTCCATTAATGACGTCACGCGATTTTGGACGATTTTTGACCCCCCCTCCCCCCATCGTCACATGGCGTCACAAAAAGTCAGACCCCCCCTCAAATATGACGTCACAAAGCTCTGCCCCCCCCCCCCCCAAAAAAAAACATGCTTCAAATCTCTTTGTAGTGCGTATTGAATGTGGCGCTGCACTCTGATGTTTGTGGGAGAAAATATTAAAAAGTCTATTTAATTAAGTACAGTGAGGGAAAAAAGTATTTGATCCCCTGCTGATTTTGTACATTTGCCCACTGACAAAGAAATTATCAGTCTATAATTTTCATGGTAGGTTTATTTGAACAGTGAGAGACATAATAACAACAACAAAATCCAGAGAAACGCATGTCAAAACTGTTATAAATTGATTTGAATTTTAAGGAGGGAAATAAGTATTTGACCCCTCTGCAAAACGACTTAGTACTTGGTGGCAAAGCCCTTGTTGGCAATCACAGAGGTCAGACGTTTCTTGTAGTTGGCCACCAGGTTTGCACACATCTCAGGAGGGATTTTGTCCCACTCCTCTTTGCAGATCTTCTCCAAGTCATTAAGGTTTCGAGGCTGACGTTTGGCAACTCGAACCTTCAGCTCCCTCCACAGATTTTCTATGGGATTAAGGTCTGGAGACTGGCTAGGCCACTCCAGGGCCTTAATGTGCTTCTTCTTGAGCCACTCCTTTGTTGCCTTGGCCGTGTGTTTTAGGTCATTGTCATGCTGGAATACCCATCCACGACCAAATTTCAATGCCCTGGCTGAGGGAAGGAGGTTCTCACCCAAGATTTGACGGTACATGGCCCCGACCATCGTCCCTTTGATGCAGTGAAGTTGTCCTGTCCCCTTAGCAGAAAAACACCCCCAAAGCATAATGTTTCCACCTCCATGTTTGACGGTGGGGATGGTGTTCTTGGGGTCATAGGCAGCATTCCTCCTCCTCCAAACACGGCGAGTTGAGTTGATGCCGAAGAGCTCCATTTTGGTCTCATCTGGCCACAACACTTTCACCCAGTTGTCCTCTGAATCATTCAGATGTGCATTGGAAAACTTCAGACGGGCATGTATATGTGCTTTCTTGAGCAGGGGGACCTAGCGGGCGCTGCAGGATATCAGTCCTTTACGGCGTAGTGTGTTACCAACTGTTTTCTTGGTGACTATGGTCCCAGCTGCCTTGAGATCATTGACAAGATCCTCCCGTGTAGTTCTGGGCTGATTCCTCACCGTTCTCATGATCATTGCAACTCCGCGAGGTGAGATCTTGCATGGAGCCCCAGGCCGAGGGATATTTTGTGTTATTTTGTTTCTTCCATTTGTGAATAATCGCACCAACTGTTGTCACCTTCTCACTAAGCTGTTTGGCGATGGTCTTGTAGCCCATCCCAGCCTTGTGTAGGTCTACAATCTTGTCCTTGACATCCTTGGAGAGCTTTTTTTTCGATTTAAAGCTTTCGTGACTGCAGGGATTCATCTTCTTGGTTCTTTCGGTAAAGTCACGTAGAAGGGAAGTAATAAAATAATAAAAATAAAACATAATAAAACAATTCTCACCTTGGAGAGCTCTTTGGTCTTGGCCATGGGGGAGAGTTTGGAATCTGATTGATTGATTGCTTTTGTGAACAGGTGTCTTTTTTACAGGTAACAAGCTGAGATTAGGAGCACTTCCTTTAAGAGTGTGCTCCTAATCTCAGCTCGTTACCTGTATAAAAGACACCTGGGAGCCAGAAATCTTTCTGATTGAGAGGGGGTCAAATACTTATTTACCTCATTAAAATGCAAATCAATTTATACAATTTTTGACATGCGTTTTTCTGGATTTTTGTTGTTGTTATTCTGTCTCTCACTGTTCAAATAAACCTACCATTAAAATTATAGACTGATCATTTCTTTGTCAGTGGGCAAACGTACAAAATCAGCAGGGGATCAAATACTTTTTTCCCTCACAGTAGAACGTGTTGTCTATATTTATTTAAAGTTGCGCATTTTGATGTGACGTCACATTTCTCACCCCCCCCTCCACTCGTTACATCGTCACAAATGTCTCACCCCCCCCCCCCAGGTGCGTGACGTCATTTATGGATGGCCTCTTGGTCGTCTTCGTCTTGTTCTTGACCACCACCTTAGCTGGGGGCGAGCGAGACACGGACAGATTTGTTGTTGTTGTTTTTAGAACGCTTAGGCGTGCGAGGCTGCATTCAAGGTTAAGAGCCGCTGCTTTAACACATGGTAGTAGCAGTAGTGTAGCAGGAGGGTGGGGTTCGATCTCGTAAATTTGACATGTTGTTAAACCTGCCACCACTCCGACACCACCAATTAGTGAGTTTTATTCACGTTAACAACATAAACCGTGCCAATTTGTTACCAGTTCACCACTAAACCGGGTTTGTGTTGGAGAGTTAAACCCACGATACCATTAACATCACCGCGACGTTCTTGCCGGATAATTACAACCACCACCACCAGCCTCATCAGGCGACAGCCAGAGTCGTTGGAAAACTCCTCAGGAGGGATTGCAATTAATTATTGTAGAGGGGGTGGATGGGGGGGCTTGTAGCGACCGAGGGAGACATGGGGGGGGGGGCGCAATGACTCAGATTCTCACATCCAGAGTCTCACGTCCAGAGTCTCACGTCCAGAGTCTCACGTCCAGAATCTCACGTCCAGAGTCTCACATCCAGAGTCTCACATCCAGAGCCTCACATCCAGAGTCTCACATCCAGAGTCTCACACCCAGAGTCTCACATCCAGAGTCTCACATCCAGAATCTCACGTCCAGAGTCTCACATCCAGAGTCTCACATCCAGAGACTCACATCCAGAGTCTCACATCCAGAGTCTCACACCCAGAGTCTCACATCCAGAGTCTCACACCCAGTCTCACATCCAGAGTCTCACATCCAGAGTCTCACACCCAGAGTCTCACATCCAGTCTCACATCCAGAGTCTCACACCCAGAGTCTCACATTCAGAGTCTCACATCCAGAGTCTCACACCCAGAGTCTCACATCCAGAGTCTCACATCCAGAGTCTCACATCCAGAGTCTCACATCCAGAGACTCACATCCAGAGACTCTCATCCAGAGTCTCACATCCAGAGTCTCACGTCCAGAGTCTCACGTCCAGAGTCTCACGTCCAGAATCTCACGTCCAGAGTCTCACATCCAGAGTCTCACATCCAGAGCCTCACATCCAGAGTCTCACATCCAGAGTCTCACACCCAGAGTCTCACATCCAGAGTCTCACATCCAGAATCTCACGTCCAGAGTCTCACATCCAGAGTCTCACATCCAGAGACTCACATCCAGA